GGAAACGAGGTCGAACCACTTATATTTAGCAAAGAAGATTGGTAAAGACCCAGTCACTATTCGTACACTCAAGTCGGGTATTCGGCCATTGAGAAGCCTTTTCTATACATCTTCGGATCTAATGGATTAGGACCGACCATAAATGAGCCCTTCGAGCATTACACATCGCCTCTAGGCCTATACATTCCAAAATTGTGAAAAATAATCTATATTCATGAGTTAATGCTGCTCAAGCTTCACGAATTCTTTTATTTGCATAACATTACTAAGATGTGATAGTCTGGTATCACAAAATATATTCACATAAACTAGGTTTTCGAAGCTATCACTTGATCTCAATAAGGACTATATTCTTCCTAGGACACATAAAGTGATGAGGGATTGATAGTTAAATTTTACACAATAATATGAGTAGGCCTCATGTTTTGATTGCATTTCACATAGCCTTGCTTCCAAAAAGGCATTTAAATTCATACGGCTGCTTTGACATAGTTTTCTCACATATCTTATTTTGTGGGAGGATTTCTACAAAGCAAGATTGTATATACTATAACAATCATTTATAATACTTATTACAGATATGAAGACCAATATGGTGTGGTCTTCTGCTTGGTCGCAGTTTCCTTTAGCTTTATAGTGTTGGTTCGACCCCGTTGTCGCAAATTGGTCGGAGCGTTGGGGAGAGCTTGTGGAACATACCTAGTTCCATGTCTTCTGCCATAGTATTTGTGATGTTTCATGGGCCATGCATATGAGCAAACACGTCTATTGTTATCCGACTAGCTCTAGTCTCCACCGTGTCTATCCTGTTTCTATCCATAAAACCAGGTCCATGCCAACCCACAAATTTTGTGGTTCCACAGCGAGATAGCAGACGGATCCTATTAGGCAAGAGGGAGACTGGGATAAGACCTAGGGAAGGAGAACTGCGTTACAATAGGGCAGACTCTGATCAACATCTCAGCACAAGGGTGAAGAGGGGTGAGAGGTGTGGAGAGTTGTCATTTAATTCGCTCAAAAGGGCCCACTATACCACATTTAACTGAGCAAAGGAGAAAAAAAGTGTGATAGCGAAGAGGCGATACAAGGATATAGGATTGGTGATTAGCCCAGGGCGGAAGGAGAGATACCACGAATGTTTAGCTGACAATTAGTCAAAGGATCGGTTTTACTTGTCTCTTTGACGAGTCGTCGTGTGGTGACAAGATTGACAAATCTGACTGGCAATGCAGGCGAAACGTCTGGGAATGTACCACGTCGACGTTCTAATCTGTAAATTATAATGCATACTATGGACTCCGGCCAATATGACAAAATTGCGAAAACAAGTTCAAAAAAATTCCATATTCCCTTTAATTGCTATTTTTGGGGGACCTTCATTTCGAATGAAAGTACATGATGAAGAGATTCGTTTTTCGATCTCACCAGATGAGGACG